GGGGGGGGAAGGGGGAGAGACAGAGAGAGAGAGGAGAGAGGAGAGGGAGAGGAGAGGGAGAGAGACAGAGAGACAGACAGAGACAGAGGAGAGACACACACAGAGACAGAGGGGGAGAGGGAGGAGAGCACGCTACAGACCAATCTCTGATGAATGTAGAAGCAAACTTCCCAGTAAAATACTTGCTAGCTGAACTCAACAACTAAGCACAGACAAGCCAGCCACGTCAAGTTGGTCTCACCCAAGGGATGAGAGGCAGATCCAACATGTGTAAATCAACAAATGCAACGCAGATCATAAAGAGACAAGAACAAGAATCCCCTGATCATCTCAACAGGTGAAGAAGCCTGACAAAATCCAACAGCATTTTATGTTAAAAGCTCTAGGGAAGATAGGGACAGAAGGATCAAACCTTAATTTAATAAAGGCTATATGCAAAAACTTAGCATTCTGCTAACTGATGAAAGACTGAAGCCATTTCTTCTGAAGTCGGGAATAAATCAAGGATGTCCACTCTCTTCACTGTTATCGGAATAGTCCTGGAATTCCTAGTCAGAACAGTAAGGCAAGAGGAAGAAGGAAACCAGATCCAAACAGGAGAGAAAGAAGTCAAACCGTCCATGATCACAGGTGAAATGATCTTATATCTAACGGGCCTGATGACCATGTAATTGTAACCCCTTTGTACGGTATTTTCACAATAAAAAAATAATAAAGCGCCTGATAATTCTTAAAACAAACACCTTCAGCAAATTAGCAGAATAAGGAGATGAAGGACCTCTATAACGAAAACTATAACTCTGTAAAGACTAAATTGAAGAAGACACCAGGAAGTCTCAAGACCTCTCATGTTCATGGATTTTTAGAATTAACATAGTGAAAATGGCCCAGCTGCCAATGGTGATGCACAAATTCGGTGTAGTGCTCACCAAAATACCAATGTCACTCTTCACAGAAACTGAGAAATCAAAACTCTTCATAGAAACTGAGAAATCAATCCAAAAGCACCAATGGCCCACATAGCCAAAATAATCATGAGCAAAAATACCAGTGCTGGAGATATTAAAATTCCTGACTTTATACTGCAGAGCCACAGTAACAAAAACAGGTTGGTGGTACTGGCACAAAACAGACATGAAGATCAATAGAACAGAGTGGAAAACCCAGAAATAAACACACTCACCTAGAGCTATGTATGTTAGGACAAAAAAGATAGTTTCTTCAATAAATCATATTGGGAAAATTGGACATCTATTTGTAGAAGACTGAAAGTGGATCCTGTCTCTCACTTTGTGAAATATCAACTCAAAGTGGATCAAAAACTTCAGAATAAGACCTGAAACCCTGAACTTCTACAGGAAGATAAGTGAAAACATTGGAACTTGTTGGACTAGACAGTTTTTTAAAACAATTTCAATGGCTCAGCTAATAAAAGACAAATGGGTCGGGCGCCAGTGGCTCACGCCTGTCATCCTAGCTACTCAGGAGGCTGAGATCTGAGGATCACAGTTCAAAGCCAGCCCAGGCAGGAAAGTCCGTGAAACTCTTATCTCCAATAAACCACCAGAAAACCGGAAGTGGTGCTGTGGCTCAAGTGGTAAAGCGCTAGCCTTGAGCTGAAGAGCTGAGGGACAGCGCCCAGGCCCAGAGTTCAAGGCCCACGACAAAAAAAAAAAAAAATGGACTGTATCAAGCTAAAAGGCTTTTGATGAGTGAAGATACAGTCACTATGCTAAAAAGACAATCTACAGAATGGCAGAAGGCCTTTTGCAAGAATATAATTACCAGAATATACAAGGAGTTGAAAAATGTAAATGCCTGAAGAATCAGTAACTGGGTAAAGGAACTAAACAGAAAATTCTCAGAAGAGGTTCAAATTTCCAATCAACACAGGAAATGGTTCATACCCTTGGCCATAGAGGAGATATACATTAAGGTTACATCTTACTCTAGTTGTAATGGTCATCATCAAGAATAAAACAACAAATACTGGAGAGACTGCAAAGAAAAAGGAAACCTAATACATTGTCGATGGGAATTAATGCAACCACTAGTCAGTAGGGAAATTCCTCAAAACACTAAAAATAGAACTGCCTGGGATCTCATGATACCACTGTTAGGCATTTATTTAAAAGATTACAAGTTGGAATGCAAAAAGGCACTTGCACACCCGTGTTCATTTCAGCATTTTCCATACACAAATTATGGAAACAGCCAAGATACCCTACAATGTAATTTTATCCATAAGGAAAAATAATATGTCATTCACAGGGATATAGGTGAACCTGGAAAAAATATTAAATGAAGTCAGACTCAGAGAGACAAAGGGAAAATGTTTTATTTCATAGGTCAAAGTTAGACCTAAAACAATATTAGATATACATATATATGAGACTATGCATATATACATTTGAACTCAAGTCTCATATATGCAGAGGTTGATTTCCATGGTGTAAGCCCTTTGAACAATG